AGTCTCAGTAGTATTCAGGAAGTCAAAGGAACACCTTGGGCACTTTTAACATCCATATTTGGCTTTATTAAACACATACCCCATGCATTGTCTAATCTCATCATTATGTTCAAAATTACTTGGCTGAGCAGAAATCAGAACCTTGTTGTGGTGAGATTCTACTTTTTTTTTCAGCATCCTATAATTCTGCCATATCTGGGGATATGCAGCTTTTATTCAGGACCCCTCCCAAACCTCAATTGGCTCTAGAGGGCATCACCAAGCAGGGCTCCTTTAAAGACATCAACCAGCTAGAATCCTATCAGTCCCACTTCTATTGTTCCTTTTTGATGTGCCCTTATATGAGGAATACAGAACATAGCAAACATACAAATTAGGAGCAGGAGAAGACTATTCAGCCCCTTGAGCCTGCTCTGCTGCACAATAAGATCATTGCAGACTCAAATTCACATAGCGACCTCACCCTGATGACCTTTCAGCCCCTTGCTTAACAAGAATCTACCTACCTCTGCTTTAAAAATATTCAAGGATTGCTTCCACCACCTTTTCAGGAAGAGAATTTCAAAAGCTCACAATCCTCCAAGAGAAAAAAAGGCCAAATGTCTATTTTAAATGAGCAACACCTCATTTTTCAACAATGACTAGGTTTTCATGCATGCAGAGCTGGCTTCCAGTAGGAGTGAGCCAATTCTGGATTGAATTGGCCATGTAGCTTTCTTTCCTGCAGCATTTGACAGCGGAGTAATCATTTGAATTCATTAAAGTAGAAATTATGACATTCTGCCTTGCAATTATTTTGTTTTAAAGATCTTCAGCTTGAGTAGTTAGACATGTTATGTTGAGACAAGTGTAGTTTAAACCGACTCCACCAAACCCCAAGTAGATCATATTCACCCTGTGCAAACGACCTTATCTACAAGACTTGGATCAACGGTGCACCCATGGGATTCACCTATGTCAGGAAACCAGAATGGGAATTTCTAGTCTACTGTAGTTTCTATGGAAAGAGCTCCCAGGAATACCTGCAGATGTTGTATGTCTTATCTGTAGGGATGCAAGGAGGCAGTGGATTATTGGTTTGATTTAGCAGAAGGGAAACATTGGTCGTACGCAGTTCGTCTTAGCCCTAAGAGTTATATGAAACAAAAGAATATAGAGTCAGGGCTAACCATTGCTACAAAAAAATGCATAGATATTTCAAGCAAGAGAAAACTCAATACCTACTACCCTGTAACCCATGCTAAGAAGTAAGATTACAAATGTGAGATATTTGACTTTTATTACAAATTATTTTGGCCAGACCGATCTATGTTATTCCATGAACTGAATCTGCAGATTTTGCTGAACTTCAGCTTTGACTTCTTATGTTAAATGCAGGCATCAGTCAACAATCTGTGGAACATGCTAATCTATTGCCTCTATTAAAAGTTTATAAGTCTCTCAGAGGAATAGTGAGGGTAAACAGAATGGCACACTGACTGACTAAATGTGAGCCCTGTGAGTGATATTCAGATCACATGGAATTTTCTTGTTCACTTTCTCTGGGGAATTGGCACTCACCAAATAAAGTGAAGCAGGAAAGGGGTAAAATCTTCTTACACCAGACATTCACCCTCCCTCTTTCTCAAATTTCATGCTACATCACTAGGCCTGAGCACGTTCCCTCCTTAATTTGCAGGTGCAGAGCTTGTGTCAGGATTGCAATGGAGCTGTGTAAATAGCCGAGGGAAGCAAAAGCAAATATGCCTGTCCTCAGGTAGGACAGTGAACTGAGGTGAGGGAAATTACTTGCAAAAGCACAAATGTATCCCAATGACAAATACTTTTAAAAAATGGAAATCAAGGCCAATTTTCTGTTACATTTCAGTATCAATTGTACAATCAAACTGGCATTTAACATTTTAAATGCACCTGAAGATCCTTAACAATATTAAATGCCACAGATGCCAGTGATGGTAAATTTGATCTGTGACTTGTATAGCTGGCTATTTGTGTGACCATCCCACAAAGGTAGTTGATTATTTATGCGATCAACGTCACTTCTGTGAGAAATGTTGATGGTTGGAACAAGGGATAGAGACCTGAAATAACCCAATTGAACACAGTTTCAACTTGTGCTAATATTTTGGGCCATTTCTTAAAATTGTTTGATTGTAGTGTAAATGGACAATCAATATTCAACTTACATCATTTCACTTTAATGCCAGAGACATTCTTTGACTAAAAATGGTTTTAAACAGTACATGACTGACCAAAAATGGCTGTTCTGATCACTTGACAAGCCCAGGCAAACCACATAGAACATACAAAACTGGTCGCAATGGAATTACCATTTCAATCAAGAGACACTTCAACTCAGTGGGGTGTCAAGAATTTTGCATTTCTTGTTTTATTCACATGTGCATGATAACATGGATAATATTATGATAATTATGCCTAATATTGGAGATGAATGGCTATGTGCTGAATGTTTAGTTTGAAAAAGGCATGGAATAAGACTTGGGCTATACCAGCAAACTATACTTCAGTAACTTGTTTTGAGCAAACAAAAAAAAAAGAGAAAGCAAGAGCAACATCGACAGATAACAGCTAGGATACCGAATGTTCTTCTCACCCTCTCTTTCTCAATCTCAGAAATCCACACCAGTGAAAATTCAATTTTGAAATATCATCATTCACCAAGATATTAAGGTTATCTGCAGGACTCACCACCCCTGAGGAAATGGGACAACAGGTAAATTATTGGGCCTCAGGTTTCAATTTTCCAACTCAAGGACTCTTAAAAACTTTAAAATGCAACTTGGCTTACCTTGCTTGCCGGAGGAGACACTCCCTCCTCTACCACCCCTCCCCATTTCCCTACCTCTACTTAGATGAAGTACAAATGTTAGATGTCACAATGTCTTATTTTTCCAGGATTTAGTAAATCAAACTAAGTATCTTTCACTGAAAAAAAACCTTGGAATTGGCTGTCCTTCATCTTTTATCTGGTTAACCAAGTTTAGTAAAAGGGTGATAGCTATGTTCTAAAAGAAGAAATAAAAATATTTGTTCCAGTCACAAAGAGGGGGAGCCTCCTCACTTGTTCTGAATAAAATAGTGAATTCAGTCTCAGCATTGTGAGATGGTAGTGTCGTGGTAGTATCACTGGGCTGGCCGGATATGCAGGCCAATGCTGTGGGAATTTGGGTCCAAATTCCACCACAGTTGAAGTTAGAATTTCAATGAAAGTCTAGATTAAAGAGCATAAAGAAACTAATGGCAACAATGTAAACACTGCTAATTGTCATCAAAAGCGATCTATTTCATTAATATCCCTTAGGAAAGTAAATCTGCCATCCTTACCTGGGCTGGCTTACATGTGACTCCAGACCCACAGCAATGTAGATGATTTTTAATAATTAAGTATGGGCAATAAATGCCAGCCCAACCAGTGATGCCTACATCCTGTGAATTTTTACAAATTAATTTTGCCCATTCAAAATTGTAAAAATGCAATAATGGAATAATTAGGTTCCTGACATCAAGAAATAATTGTTCTGATTTAAGAAAGATTTAAGTGGTGAGTTCTGAATTTCCCCAATGAGCAGAGGCCATATTATTTCCATGTGTTTGCATCTCATTAATAACTAATCTCCTCTTATCCCAATGCATCTCCTTATTCTCCCATCCTCCCCCGAGAAAAAAGAGAGTGCCAGTTCCTGACATGAAAGTCACAGCAGTTACCTGGCACCACAGTTCACCGCTTGCTTCTCAGGGTCTTATCCAACTTTGCTGTCACCACCACTTCCATGTATGCTCCATAGACACCATCCTCAATTCAAGTGGGTATTGTCAAACCAGTCTCTCCACATCAACATGGTTATTTTCAGAACAACTTACAGACTTCCGCCCTTCAGGACCTCATTTAGCAACTCATCTCATGGATTGACAAGATGCATCCAATACCTGTTGAATTCTTTTGTTAGTGCTCACTTATTTTGCATTTACTTCGAGGCTGTCAGCACCCCTGGCGTGTATTGGTTTACAGTGCAGGGAAAAAGGCAGACAGCTCGTTATATGTGTCTGCACTGCATACTCAAGGGGGCATTGCTGTATGGCACTGTGCTACATCCATGTCACACCTACGGCATATGTCCGCAGCGTATTTGGAAATACATTGCACGTACGTGAAACAAATGGCCAGGTCTGAAAATCAAAGAAGATCAAGAAAGTCAAAGTCCTCAGTGGGGTTAAGGAGGACTACAGTCAATCTGGGGGTACCACCACAGTCAGTCAAAGGGCTCATCTGATTTCAGTACAGGAGGTTGGCCATGGTTAGTTTGTCATTTGGTCCTATTGCTGCTTAGGAATCATTATTTTTGCTAGCCAGGGTTTGGGTATGATCAGGCTTTCAGGTCAAGTCCAACCAGTCCAGGATTGCAGGGAACATTCCCCCAGGCTGCATGGGTGCACCCGTGCGCAGCTGCTCTGATGTTCTATGCGCACAATTGGCATCAGTGTACTGTTCTCGGCATTGACTTCCAGTGCACAGGACTTGGAGGCCTATGTACCCCGGATGACAAATATTTCGACATCTTCAGTTGCTTTAATTGCATTTCAATGAAAACATAAATTAACCTACATAATTTCCTAGCCTTCTCCTGCTACACAGTCCAGTGCATTTAAATGAAATTTGCAACACCTTTCTGTGAATCAAGTAATTCTTTTGACAAGAGTTTCCTGTGTGAAATCAGGTCAGTGCATTGCAGACCAATCATCAGCAGTGTCTACAAAATGTCAGAACAATGGACACTGTGAAAAAGCATGACGGGCTTTCAGTAAAAGAGACTTAGATCCTTCCCTCTAATCACTTGGCTCTGACTCTCACATGATTTAAGAACTGTTTTTTTGGGGTTTGTTACTTCTCGCTGACTCACTGGTGAAACAACTGCTTTGACTTTTTGTGAATACTTTCCGTTAAAGTTGACCAGAAATTGAAAAGAACCATGGTGCAGTTCATGATGAAAATGATGCAGTGTTTATCTTTCATCAAGAAGGGAGATGTGGGTGAACTCAGTCCTTTGATTTTCAAGGTAAAAGATCATAATGATAATTTCAAAATATTATAATTATAGCTTTAATAAGTGATTGTTTGATAATAAAATGTCGCCTTGCTGTGTGAATCCTCGGTATCATTTCCAAGCAAGTATCATAATTTTCATAGAATTACAATATTCCTTCTGGAGTAAAAACAGAATATGGTGGGAGTACTCAACTAGAGCAGCATCTTTGCAGAGAAAGTGAAAGCTAACTTTTCAGCAAAATAACCTCTCGTCAGAACAACTTTCTGGATTGTTCAACGTGTTATTGAAAGGAAACTAAGAAAGAAAGAAAAAACACAGTCTACAAAGTTAGAAAAAAATGTCATTTAATAACTAGCCAAATGAAAGACATTGACAACAGAGATAAAAATGTAGTCTTCTTTGTTTAATATGTGCATTATTCCCCTTAGAAGTTATTTTTGATTATTTTTGCTTGGACAATTGCAATGTATGATGGCATTGCGAGTTCATCCAAATACTGGGACTCAATAAAATTATATCTGCTGTTAATTTCCATGCCTCATCACGTCAAATTGCAGCTGATTATAAATGTGGAAATAATCTTAATGCACAGAAGAAATCCTCACATTTGAACTACCAGTTGCGAGAGAGTGTTTCCAAAAACGGAAAACCAATTTTTCTTAGTGTAATTTTTTGAAGAATGGGTAAGGCACGGGTCAGTACATTAGTAATAAAGTCAGTCGTGTTGAAATGAGTATCTGACAAGTAGGTATACTGCAATGAATTGAAAACATTATAGAGGATCTTTCAGTCATCATTCAACCAAAATCCAATGAGCAAAGACAAGCAGGGAATTTCTGGTAATTCCTTAATTATGTTCGTATGAAATTATCTTTTTGTTTCATTGTGATAGGCAGTACATGAGTTTGAAATTGTGGTGTGGTGGTAATGTCACTGGATTAGTAAAGTAGATACCCAGGCTAACGTTCTGGGGACATGTGTCTGAAGCCCATTGTGGAAAATGGTGAAATTTCAATTCAATAAACATCTGGACTAAAAAGCTAGTGATGATGTAACCACTGTCAATTGTCATAAAATCCCATTTGATTCACAATTGTCCTTTAGGGAACAAAATCTGGCGGAATGTGACTCCATGTGGTTGATTCTTAAGTTTCTTCCGGGCAATTAGGTTTAATAATAAATGCTCGCCTAACCAGTCACACCAACATCACATGAACAAATAAAATAAAGAGGGAGTGCTGTGTACCTCAAATGCTATGGCAGTGAATTGCAAAGTTCACTGTATGTCAACAGTTACTGTTGTTCAAAGTAATTAACTGTGCATGAAGCATTTTTGGAAATGTCTGTGAGTTGTGATAAAGTACAATATAAATGTGCCTTCCTTCTTTCAATAATCCATGGTTTATCATTAGCTTTGCTTATAAACACTTTCTGCTTAATCTGTTGCATGCTATACATTATTTCTTGATATGACCAGTCCCTGGGTGAGGTTCCCCAATTTATTATGGTTCCAGATGGGACAAATTGCCAAACTCTTGGATAAGAAGGGCTGAACTAGCTCTCTTTCGTTGTTCATCCTCCTCCCTGGGTTTGGTGTAACAAGATTAATTTAAAAAAAATTCCCCTTCCTGGTGTGTATCTTTCTCCCAGACCAAGTGTTTTAAATGGGAACAATTTAACCGGGCTTTCTTGAGTTAATGAAAGTTACTTAGTTACTAAATGTGAGAAGAAGTAATAACACAATGCACAACACACAGATTAGAAATGAGGACAGTCCAAAAAACACAAATTTAAAAAATATACCGATTAGACGCTGGGTCATTTGTGAAATTTGTTTGTGGAATGTTGATGGTTGAGTGACTGATTTCAAGATTCTCCTATTTCCTTTTGAAGTGGCTTACAAGTGGCTCCCAGCACTCAAAGCAAGAGAATCCTTTACTTGCAATAAATGGTGTTAAGTAAATGGTTCTTTGACTATGATTTTTATAGCGTACAAGCACTTTAACCCAGACTAGTATACTTGAGTACCATAGCCCACAAGCTCATACAAGCACTGTATACCCACTAGCGCACATAGACCAATGTTATATCTGGCCTTTAACTGCTTACCTTGTTTATTCTTGAAAGGGGAAAATACAAAACATGCGTCCTATCCAGACTGCTGTATCTTCTCCCGTAATTTTCTCAGCCTGAGATACTCACAAGGGACTACAGTTCAGTTTGTCGTTCATTTGTCCCTTTGAAGCTTTCTTGATAGCTTCAGGTATGACATTCTAGGATTCCTCCCTAGAGGAATAATCTTTTGGCTGTATCTCCTCATATTGCAATTGAATGTTCATATATCCATAGATGATCTGAGTTTATGATCCTTGTTCATTACATTCTGTAGCTTAAATAATGTTAAACACATATTATCATGAAAAAAGATGTTAAAAATGCTTGGCCAATTAAATAAAATGAAACAAAAAGATAATTTCATATGAACATAATTAAGGAATTACCAGAAATTCCCTGGTTGTCTTTGCTCATTGGATTTTGGTTGAATGAGTGTAAATGCTTGAGTTGCCAAATGCCACTAGAGAAGTATTAAGTTGTACAATGCTTTTGTTTTAGTGATTTTTTTCTATGCAACATTAACACAGGCTGGAAAAAAGTGATCCAATCAATTGTATTTCCAAAGTACATGTTAATAAACAAAAAATCTTACAGCCACTAGTAATAAATTGTAAAATAATCTCCATATTTACATCTTTAATTCTTTAGCAGCCTTTCCCTTTCTTTCAATGTATTAAAGTATAGGATATTGGTTTGGAAATGCTTCCAAATTTTTCAACAGGGCATAATCCTGACCAGACTTCTGAAAGGAAACATACTTGTAATAATTGTTTTTATATTATGCTTCGTATCTGGAAAATATTTACTTGGGAAAAATGCAGAGATCAGAAAAGCTTGGTCAAAAGATTTTTTCAAAGAAGACTCTGAAAAGAGGGCAAGTGGAAATTTGTAAATGAGTATTTCCAGAGCGATGCACTTCGGTAGTTCACTATTACTGAGGCAAAAGAGAGTCTGACATACAGAGGATCAGAATAAGAACTGCAAAGATAGGGATTAGGTGTGGGGTTTTGAAGGGCCAAAGGAGATTACAAAGATACCTAGAGGCACAAGGATAGACAACACTTGGATAAAGAAGATAGATCCTTGGTGAACATCTGAGGTGTTGGAATCACAGAGGAAGTGATGCTCTGGACGTGATTGATAGGTTCAACTGTTGCATTGGAACTGACAAGATGGCTGGTCCATTGTGTTAGACAACAGGGGAGTGATGAGCTGACAGTGAATGGTGTGACTAATTGTCTAACACTGCAGAGCAGTAGGAAAGGATAATCCATCACAGTCACAGGGATCACCATTTATGACCGTGGTTATTGATTTGCTGTTGTGGAAGGGACAAGAACCAAATGAGAAAGATTGAACAGAGGTGCAGGAAAGATAAGAACGTGCTTGAAAGATGAAAGCAAATTCTACGGCCTTGGAGAGGAAAGTGGTATTTGACATTGAACAATAGTTATTTAGAACAAAGGATTCTTCAAGGATTAATTTTTGAGTAGGCCACGATGGTATCATCCAGAAAAATCAAGAAAAAAGCCTGATGAAAGAGACCTATTAACATGACAACAAGGAAGGGCAGTTTGATGATCATAAGATTAATTGAAATAGGTTCAAAGCACGGAAGGTAGACCTTATGGATAAAGAAAAATGCTGAGAGAGGACTTGGGGGTGAATGAAGAAATTCAGAGAGAGAGAGAGATGAAGGTGCAGAGGTCCAAAAATAAAAAAAAACATTTTTATTAGTGACAATGTGCTTTTAAAGTAAAGTAGCATTATTTTGAATGTATCTAACTAAAAGAATCTTTCAGTTTAGGGTTATGCAAATGACCTTTAATTATGTTAGGAGAGTCTCTGGGACATGATCCCATGATCTTCCCATCAGGCATCGTGTAGAAATAAACTAGTGACTGAAACAGAGAAATCTTTGTTGACTTTGAACAGTTAAGGCATTTGTGTAGAATGATAATGTAACATTATTCCATCCCTGAATACACTTTAGTTTAAATTTACCAAAATTTTTTGAAAGATAAATTAACAAAAATGAGGAGAGTAATCCTATACCTATAGATCTGCAGGATTTTGCAAAGACAACACATTGTTTTGCCTTTAGTCATTCTGTCTATGTCATGGATTCAGTGTAGTACCTTTAATCAATCAGCTATGTGAATGTAACATACAATAACTTCAGTAAGCACAGAATCCAGACTGTTCTGAAGATTGGTCACTGGACTCAAAATGTTAACTCTGATTTCTCTCCACAGATGCTATGAGACCTGCTGAGCTTTTCCAGCAATTCTGTTTTTGATCCAGACTGTGAATATCTGTGATAATATGTCTAGGTAAATAGCTGCTGTTGTTTATAAACCTCAAGACCTTTTCCTCCACACGAATCAGTCTACATGATATATAATATAGAATACCACAAACTGCACAGTGGTGTCAGAAGTGGGGTTGCTGAGAATACCATCTACAGGCACAAGTCTTCAAATTTTAAAGAACAGCAACTCTTAAAGTGACCACTCTTATTGACAGGCTTAATAACAAAGTCAGGGTTAGATCTGAGTGCACGGAGTGCAGTCAGTTCAGAGGGAGAAATGTTGGATTTGATGAGGGGGGTAGAGAAATTGAGGTGACTAATATCATGTCAACAGTTCTCAATGAACAGATCAAGTGCAGGTAAAAGGCCAGAGGGAGGTGTCCAGGTGGAGGGAGAGTGTTGGGACTGGGCAAAGGGATCTGTGGGATGGGGAGAGGACTCTTGTCCAAAGAAATGAGCACGGAGGCAAAGACGGCGGAAGAAGAGTTCGGTGTCATGTCATGCCCAAAATTCATTAAGGTGGGGACGCAGGGGGATAAAACTAAGGCCTTTGCTGAGTACAGACCATTCAGCATCAGAGAACGGAAGGTTGGGAGGGATGTTGAATAACTGACAGGAGGTGGGGTTGGGAGACGGGATGGAATCAGAGGGAAGGGGAGGAGAGGAATGTTCCAGAGGGCTGTGGGTATTTGTGAGTTGTTGCATCTTGCCTGAAAGGAAAAAAAGAAAGTTTCTTGTTAGCACGACGAATGAGGCAGAGGATGAAGTGGAACTGAGGAGTGGTGCAACCCTGAGCCAGCGTGTTGCTTTGCTGTTGGAGAGAAAGGTTGAGAGTGTGCATGTGGCACTGCATGGCACTGAGTTTGGATCTCAGGATGTGACGAGAGCAGCTGTCCATGGAACGTTGAACATCACGGAGATATCTGTGATCCTGGAAGGATTCAAAACACGAGGGATGAAACTTCAGTTGGAATCCACATGGGGTGAGTCTGAGCTGGAGGCAGTCAATGAGGAATGTGATATGGCTGTGGAAATGAGTTTTAGCAAATACTTGGTCAAACACCAGGAGTGGCAGTGAAATTAATGTCGGTGGGCAAGAAGAAAGATTGGAACAGAAATCCCATCGGAGAGAGGAGCAGAACTTCTTCAAGGTGGGCATGCGTTTTGTTCCTGATTTACAGCATTTGCAGTTCTTTCGGTGTTTATTTGGTACAAAACATGGCTTGTCTCACCCTATAAAACAGTGTCCAGTGTTGCGTAATATGTGCAGGGTATGTTTTACAAAATGGTGCAGGGCTAAAATGAGTAGGAAGTCTAACTACCAAAAGAAGAGCAAAGTACACTCCACACCACTGAGTGAAGAAATGACAAATTAACAATGTCAAAGCAGCTTCCAAAGTTCCCTCCATGGCATGCAAGCAGGCGAGCAGAGTCAAGTGCTGGAGAAACACAGCCAGTCTGGCAACATTTTGGATAGTATATGTGAAAGTAAGTTTTAAAATTACAGCACAATATACAATAATATTGCATTGCACCATTATGTCTAGATAAGTGACAGTGTGGCATGATCGAGTAACTAGAACGAATGGATGAGCAATCGTGTAGGTGTGTGCCCAGTCGGCATGTATGTGTGCAATCTATCTGGCAGATTGTGTGGAGAAATAATTCAATACGTGAGTAAATGATCTTCATGAATATGCAAAAAGAAAATATTAGGCTGAGTGCCCGCACTTTCCTGAATTCAATTAACTAAACGAACTAATGTATTTCATATTATTTAATGTGCGTTTTTAAAGGTACGCTGTCAGAAACAATGTGACACGTGTAAAGTCGGATTTTACTCAGGTCATTAATTAGAAATGGTTAGGTTTTGGATAGGACCACATAAACTGAATGGACTGCTTGTAGCCACAGCTCCACTGCTTTCTGATATTTTCCGACTGTAGAAACAAACTTAAATATCTAAGCTCTAGTGAGGCGAGCCTCGCAGTGACCTTCTCTTCCTTGTCTTTTTACACCCCACCACTCCAACAGGAAGGCACACTCCACAATGATAAACTGGGGCAGGCATCGTGCAGTCGCTGTCCACAGGCTGATGGTGCTGATACAGTGAGAGACGTGCGGTCAGAGCTTCACAACCCCCAGCGGCTCTGCCGAGCCAACAAAGTCAACGGTTGTATCAAGTACCTCATGGTCCTGTCCAACTTCATACTTACAGTGCTGGGCTACTTGATTCTTGGGATCGGGATCTGGGGACTGATAGATAAGGAATCTCTGGACCTGAACAAAATCAACACTCTGAGCACAGACCCCATGCTGGCGTTCGTTGTTGTGGGACTGATTGTTGGTTTCTTTTCTTGCTCTGGCTGCCTGGGGGCTCTGAGGGAGAACCAGTACTTGCTGAAATTCTTCACGGCTGGCATCCTCATGTTCGTGACGGCGGAGATCATAGGCGGGATTGTGGTCTACGCCCAGAGGGACAGAATCGAACGCTTCCTGAAGAATGGCATGACCCTGTGTGTCAAGAGATATCAGGACGATCCTGATGTCCGGTTCATTATCAACGAGATCCAACAAGGACTAAAGTGTTGCGGGGTCGAGTCTTATCACGATTGGCAATTAAACCTGTGAGTAAGTTGCCAGACAGATTCACAACACATCTTGACCAATGTACTAACATGTATTTAGTCTGGGCTTCAACAGTAATCGAATATTCATTCTGCCAAAAGAAAGGTTTTGTGCGGAGTTGTATTCCCGGTGAACTTTAGTCATGTTGACTTTCATTAGGGGGATCTATTGAATCAAACAGTTCTTCTCCTCACCAAAAGCAGAGAATGCTGGAGAAACTTAGCAGGTGTGAACTCAGTTCTTCAGAAGAGTCATTTCAGACTCGAAACGTTAATCCTGTTTCTCTCTGCGCAGATGTTGCCAAACCCGCTGAGTTTCTCCACCATCCTCTGTTTGTTCCAGATATCCAGCGTCTGCAGGATTTGTCCTTATTTCTCCACGCCTGTTCCTGATCCAAGTGAACTCCAACTTCCGTAAAATTCCGTAGATGTTGGAAAAATGGGCAAAAAAAAGTCGTTCGAATTATATCAGGCCGAATCAAACAACTCCCATCACTTTTTATACTTTCCTACTGCACTTGGCTAAGAAATATATACACGTCCCGTTGCACAAATTTGTTTTTAACAGCCTGAGACAGAGGTCTGCACCTGCCTCCAAACCTTGCTCCTGAGTATGGAAGGCAGTGGCAAACCTCCATTGGCAAAAAAACAGCCAAAGAAAATGTCTCAAGATGAGGCATCAATAGAAAATGAGCCAAGGATCTGCAGAGCCGTCACAGAATGGAAAATATTTTAAGCATAAGATGCATTCAGAAAGCTATTGAGTCAATCACATGTAATGAACCACGTGATACATATTTGTCATATGATGTCACACCTGCCATATAACGGTCAACTAATAGTCCAAAACTTCTACTTTAGTGCTATTTCAACAAGCAAAATAGCAGGTGCTGTTAAAACAAAAAGTCTTCCTTCAGTCCTGAATACAATGTACTGTTTCTTAACAAAACAGAATGCTGGAGAAACTCGGCAGGTTTGGCAGCATCTGTGGAACGGGAAACAGGAGACAACATTTTGAGTCTGATATGACTCTTCTTCAGAACTGAGTTCACACACTATGCCAGACCTGCTCAGTTTCTCCAGCATTCTCTTTTTTTTTCCAGCATCCACAATATTTTGCCCACATTTGCAATGTTTATTAAAATCATTTTCACTTAATTTGTTCTTTTTTTTAATCAAAATGTGCCATAATGAAGGAGACAAATTACTTAAGTAGTTCATGAAATTCAGAAGTAAACTGTCCTTTGTGACTAAACTAGTGGCTCTTGCATAAAATCTTTATAGGACAATTTTCGGTTTACATGATTCCATAATGAAAAAGTTGGTGCCATTGTGTAGATATGCCTTTCATTTTGTATTTGATACATGCTGCAATTTTAAAATAAAAATTATATTTACTTTCCCATATTTAAAATATTGACTTGCCAATTTATTTTTGTTGGCATAACAAAATTCCATGAAAGAATTGGAAAGTTGTGATATATAAATATATATCATGCACATAATTATGTAGCCTACCATTTAAAATGAAGAGGATGATTTCAAACAGCCGCAGTGTAACACAATGTCAAAAGTTCAAAAATATACTTTCAATAAAGTTACAACTTAGTGTCACATTGGGACATCAGCTTTCCTCACGGCTCTTTATTTGGTCACTTTAGTTGGTACAATTTATACACAAAAGAAGTCTTGTGGTAATGTAGGAGTATTAGTTTCTCTGAATTTGAGACCTGAGCCAGGACTTTTTCGGTTTGGGCAGTGCCTTGGTAATGTCGCTAACCAGATTGTTTATCAGCTTTAAATTCTTCCAATATGCCTGATAAGTGAATCAGAAAATAAGCATGAGTTAAAAGACAGACTCATATCCATAGTTTTAATCAAGATGTAATTTCATTTTTCATTTCCAGCTAGTCAATGGAAGGTTTCATGAGTGTAGCTAACTCTACTGACATTGCCTGTCTGATATCATCACAGCAAGTTTTCTTTCTTGTGGACTGTAGTGTAGCAGTTTTGTTGGTAATTATGGAACAGTCAAGAACCATTATATTATGATCAATTGAGCAAAGACAGGCAGCCAGCGCAAGTAGACTTGTTTAGAAACTGGAAACGAATCCAAATCATGTATGTTTTCTCTGTCAAAAACAGAACTTGTGACGTGATTTTAAACTGTTTGATTTACTTTTGCAGGTATTTTAACTGCAGCTCCCCAGGTGTCCATGCATGTGGAGCTCCTGCTTCATGTTGCATCAATCCTCAAGAAAATGGCACAGTTATGAACTCTCAGTGTGGCTTTGGCACTTTACACATGGAAGAAGTGACAGCCCAGAATTATATTTACCTCCATGGGTGCATGTCACACCTCACTAATTGGCTTAATAGCAATATAGGTTCAATTGCTGCATTTGGTGTAATTCTCATGGTTATTCAGCTGCTTGGGTTAATTTTTGCAATGAAGATACTGAGTGACATTGAACTGATCAAAGTACATTGGTAGCAAAGTGTAAAACAGAACTTTCCTGCAACACTTTATGTTAAACCTCAAAGAATGGATGGGTGGAATCTGTTGACTGAACTGTTCCATATTATTGTTGGCATCTAAGTCTCACATAGCCCACTCCTGAAATGGAGATTTATATAAATCCAAGTTCACGTTGTTGTCTTTGACTGAAGTGTTTTTTTCTGAGTTTTTTCCTGCAACTTTATTATTTATCCAAAAAATGATTATTATGAACAGAATATGGAGGTTAAGTGTACTGAGACAATTTAAGTACATGTAAAAAATGTGATTGCAAATATTAAATATTTTATTCTGCAGCTCTGAATGTAGTGTTACGTAATCTTTGCTCTTAACAAATGTAGGTTTTCTTACTAAATTAGACTACACAGACAAGTGGAGGATCTAGGATTTGTAAATTACAGATTTATTATAATATTGTAAGGTTATACTTACCTCCACAAATCAACATAAAGGTATAATTTAGAAGGCCGATTTGTTTATGGAAGCTGTTGAATTACCAGAATGTTTTGACAGTCGTTTATGTGAGTGAGATGAGGATTGTGTGAATTGAATGTAAAAGCAGAAATTATTGGAAATACTCAGTGTGTCACTGAATATATACTGAGAGAAACAGACACTTGTTGATTATTTCCAGCATTTTCTGTTTTTTTTTCAGATTTCCAAGACTGTCTTGCCTTTGTGACTTGAGTACTTGTGCTAATAACCTTAGGATATGTCATTTGAGCACACCGATCTGCAGAAGCTCTGCAAGCCAGATTAAAAATCAAGAATATCCGATGACATTTATCAAGTTGTCTTGAGAACATGAAAACTGATGTCAAAATATATCTAATTTTTGTTACTAGGATGAATTAAATTAAATTATGCCAGCAACAGGAACACACAAAAAAAGTAGCTATGGTATACTTGGGGGAAGAACGTAAAGGGAATGGTTTCATTTGTAAAAATTGTTGATTTTTTTAAAGCAATCATTAACAATAACATGTTCAAAGTCTGGGTAAAGATTATATCAGAATTTATTTATGGCTTACTATACTTGTCTGGGCGTCTCTGTTAAGAAACAAATTTGAAATTAGGAAGCAGAGAGGGAGAACAGTGAGAAGAGAAAGAGAAATGATGGGAAGAGGGATCAAATAAAGATGAAGGAGAAAAACAGAAAGAATGGAAGAGAGACAATATAGGAACATAGGAGCTATTCACCCTCTCAAACCTGCTCTGTAATTCTATATGAGCATGACTGGTCTATTTGTGTTCCGAATTCCACCTTCCCATCTATTCCCAATGCCATGTGATTCCCTTGCCTCGTAAGAAATCTACCTCTACCTTAAAAATATTTAATGACCCCGCCTTCACCATCTTCTGAGACAGAAAGAGTTCTAAAGTTGCACAACTCTCTAAGAGAAAAAAAAAATCCTCCTCATTTTTGTCCTAAAAGATGACTCCTATTTTTCAAACAGTGTCCTCTACTTCTGGCATCTCTCACAAGAGGAATCATTCTTTGCCCTTACAGGACCTTACAAACTTCAATCAAGTCACCCATCGCTCTTCTGAACTACAGTGGAAACAGGCTTAGCCTCTCTAACCTATCTTTATAAGACAACCTACTCATTTCAGACAGCAATCTAGTAAATCTCTTCTGAACCACCAACACATTAACATTATTCCTTAAATAAGGAGACCAAAGCTACATACGGTATTCAAGATGTGGTCTAACTAATACCCAGTAAAGCTGAGGGTTAACGTCCTTAATTTTATGTTGAATTCCTCTTGTGATAAAGGATAGGATTCCATTAGCCTTCTTAATGACTTGTTGTACCTGCATATCAATGTTTTGTGACTTATGCACCAGAATACCTGGAGCTCTCTGCACCTCAATTGATATAAATGTTAAAATGTTGAGAGCCCAGTACAGACCCCTGTTACATCCTGCCAAGCTGAAAAAGATTAATTTATGCGTGTTCTCTACTTTCTGCCATCCAGCCAGCCATTCTTCTATCTATGCTGGCATGTTACCCCACGCACCATGAGTTTCCCTTTTGCCAATAACTGTCTGTGCAGAACCTTGTTAACTATCATGTGGAAAACCCATGGCAGAGTCTTATTGAGGCTTGAACAATGTGGACTATTGTAAGAAATACGGCAGAATCACGCAAGAAATCCGGCGAGGCCTGTGTTGGGATGAATTCATTGATTCTCATGAGGCAGAGGCAAGTGGCCAAATCAGCAGGACTATTGTTTGTTAATGACCTTACTAACAGTAATCTTGCCTCACTTATATGCAGCTGCCCATTTTACTAGCTGCAGTGTGCAAACTAGACACCAACATTCTCAATATGGAAGTCAAAGCGGATAACTGGTGACTTCAGCTCACTGCTGGCTGTGAACAGCCGCTACGATGGTCACTCAGCAATATCATCTCAAAGCGTGATCCATGGGCAACACCCTTCATCCATGGACTTAGGCATCCGACATTTGTCAATGCCTCACCTTCCTCCTGGCACCTCTCCAATTCACGTGCAGGAAGCTTGAGAAGTACAACCTGCATTGCAGGGCATACCAGCAACTAGCATTGAAAGGCTGTTGTGAGGACATCTTGCCCACATGGACAGGCACCATATCCTTGGTTTGGAACAGAGGCTGCATCTTAGGGCTGCTCACTTACTCTCTCAGTGCTCTCAGCATCTATGCCTTACCTTGCTACGCCAAGCCCGTTAGCATGATTGCATTTTAGCTAGAGCCTAAAGGCCATCAGTATTGCCGTATCAAAGTGTTCTTCAGTGAAGACGCATGGACAGGATCTTTGTCTTGCTTGTCTGTAGGGATCTTTCTATGGGAGTGGGCTGGGACATCCTGCTGTCTATCATAATAAGATGTCAGCCTAACACCTACAGCATGTGCTAGCTTCATGTGCAGCTACCACACTGCATGTTTACTCAAACAGATGGCTACGTAGGAAAGTATGTGGGGGGTAGTCCTCAGTCCAATTGAAGGTGGGGGGCTCTCAGGCACAGACTGTACATAAGTCACGAGTTTGGCCATGGTCAGCAGTCTGCCTAGTCCAGTCATGATTGGGGATATGTCTGACTACAGTCCAGGGAGTGGGCAGCAGTCAGTCTGGTCACAAGCAGTCAAGAAAATCACTTATCACCAGTCAAAAAAAACCACAAAAACACTGGTCAGGGGTCTGGTCACTCATGTTTATGGGCTGCTTGTCAAAGTCAGTCAGAAGTCTGGGTATCCATGCCTTGAGCAGTGGGGAAGGTAAAAGGGGGAGCAAAGGGAGATCATTACCAAAATGGGGGTGGGGCAGTCAAGACCGTAGTGATTGGGATAGAATATGAGTTCCCTGATTGGGTCTGTTAATCTGGTCTAATCAGGGACCCCTGGCTGACAGATATAAATAGGAGTGTCAGAGGTTCTGTTCAGTCTGAGAGCTGGCTCTGAGGGAATTAGATCCACGTCAAGGGCTCTCCAAGTGTAAATAAAGGGTGACTTGGTGACGGGATACCGGCCTATGAGTTATTTCAGTGGTGGCAAGAATGGGATTGATGATGTAACCATGCAAAAGCACCTACGAGCTGAAGCCCAAATGGACTTCAAACAGGCACTACAACTGGCTTTATCACTGGAAAATGTGCCAAGTGGAAGCATATGATTTGTAGGGTATTCTGATGAAAGTGGACACCCTCGCCAGTCCAACTGAGCTTGGTTATACCACTTGAATGAAAGCAATTGCATAGCCTCGCTCAGGACATATCCTGAACAGAAGGACTCCAGGTCAGCCCACAGCAAATCCCCAAAACAAAGCCAAGCCTCAGCTAAACAGTTAATATTTTCTTCAGGATCCGGGCCAGCAAGCCTTGCAGTGGTGCCGGTATGTTGACTCAAGTGAGCAAAACAGTCCCATTAGATCTAAAATGACTAAGAGAACTCATAGGCCGGTATCCAGGAGAGTGCACACCCTGGAAAGTCCACCTACATCTGGTTTGGAACAGTTAAATTGCTTAGCAACATCCAAATCAGAACCAAACAAAATAAACATCTGGTTAAGTGGTCATCTGGTTCTAATAGAGGTCGATACCTGTGTGGTCATTTCAATCATCACAGAATCAGTCTTTAACAAAATTCATTCTGAACTGCAATTCTTAAGTTTGCACAAGGTGTCAGCTAGACTGAGAACCTATACCAGAAAACCTCTACTGTTTAAGGGTATGAGAAGCAGCTGATTCAGTTACCACTAATTGTAGTATAAGACCCAGTCCCAAGCCTGATTGGGTGAAATTGGTTGAGAAAGGTTCACCCAGATTGACTCAACATTTTTTGATTAGAAAATGGCTGCCTAAAGGAAGTCCTAATTGAACACCTGGAAGTTTTTCTGGAAGATCTAGGGGCTATCAAAAGAGCCAAGGCCACCTTGCATGTTGACCAGGAAGCAATTCCACAATTCTGCAAAGCCTGCCCAATGCCATTTGCCTTACAGCAAAAGTAGAGGCAGAAATCAAAAGGCTGAAAAGTGAAGGAATCAGCAAACAAGTCCAGTTTGCAGAATGAGCAGCACCAGTCACACCAATTTTTGGTTCACCTTTATGGGGATTTTAAACATGCAGTTAACTGGTTTTCGCAGCTAGATAAATACCCAATGCCTCGCATAGAGGATTTATAAACAAAGCTAGCTGGGGGCTGTCCTTCACAAAGCTGGACATGAGCCAACGTGGTGGATCTCCACATGGGGGAATGTGTGTAAATATGGTGTCTAGATTGTGCAAGATCAAAGGGGAGATGGAGAGTCTTGGGAGGGGGGGTGGTATCTGGCAACCAGGCGAGTCTAGTGCTGATAGTATCCACCGTGAGCTACATTCCTGCCATCTCTTGCTGGTCACTAAATGCTAACTGCAACTGGCAAATGGCTGGGGCAACTCTCAGGATGGGTGGAGGTACCAATTTGAAGGGTAAAAGCATTGGCTCCACATTCGTTG